TGGTGCGCCTGTATGCGTCTGTGGTGCGCCAGCCGCGTTTGCCAGGTGGACTCAGAGGTGAAGCAACGGTTTTCACGACTTCAGCACCAGGCGGGGGGGAGCAGTTGCAGGACCTCATCGGGTTAAGGCTCTCCTGTTTGGTTCCGGCCCCAAAAAGTTTGGACAGTGAGCATATCGAATTCTGGAAGTTCTAGGAAGGCAGTTGAATGGAATGGGAACTTGGTGGTGGGCTAAAGCTAAGTGCCTGTTGATTTAAATGGTCTTCGGAGTATGGAGCGCGCGCCAGCACTCTATCTCTGAAGCGCAAGTCGTTTTGGTCATCAATAACTGGACAGCAGGATAAGTGTACCTTTAGATTCCATCGTTCAAGTTTGAGGAATCACTTGTATTGTGTGTGACCCGTATCGGATTGTTGCACGCACGCCAAACAATTGAGGTACATGATCCTCAATGTTTGTCTTCAAACAGGTATGACCCCGGTAAATTCAAGCCTACATAAGCCTTGACGGGCGTCTCGAAATGAGTAAGCATCATGGATTTGAGTTTCTGATCATTTTGACAGTGCGGAAAAAATCGGTCAACATGTGAGATGCTCAAAGCGCTTGATGGTAAAAGCTGAGCAAACAGACTTTGGCAAGCAGGCATAGCAATGGGAGCAAAGGGGTTGATTCGTCCTGTAGGTGGACAACATCGACTCAAACATCATGGACTTGGGCGACAAGGCCAGTTTGGCACTTGGCACTCAGAGCAGGTTCGATGCAGCTCCGTCATGTGTTCTTCAATATTAATTGTGCATATGTATATATATATATTCTATTATGCGTGTGTGTTCGCATTTGTTTGTTGTCGTTCGGGTCTTGCCCGCAGAAGCCCAACCAGGGTTGTTTGTTTTGGCTTCTTTCGTTGGGGGATGTTTACCCATTGGAGTGTTGTATGCTGAGCTCTGGGTGTTCCCCATGATGAAGTTGCAGGCGCATGTGCAGCGCCAGTTCCCCTACCTGCTAATTGTGCACAGTCCGTCCTTTTTCCCCGTTTATCAAGATTTAATGCTGTGTCTCGTTGATAAGCGTAAGTGATTCCTTCCAACTACTTGCGAGTTGCAACCGAGACTCACACTTTGACCAGCTGCAACAACAGTACCCATTGCAGCAGCAAGGATCCGTGCGTTTGAAGGATGTTAATGTGCAGGAGCTGTGATTGCAACTGACGCACACTTCGAAGCTACCTGTGTATTTTCAGGATTCGTCACATGGAGTGTGTCAGCAACCGGGTTGTGGATGCCACGTTTTCGTGAGATGGGATTTGACAAGGCGAATGCTAGTTAACGATTGTCTTCTCTTCGCCAGGTTGCAGAATCCTACGCAGCTGCCCCAGATGACGGGAAGGTTGGTATCGTTCTTTGGTTCAGATGTTTGCCCCAAGCGCGATGATTGCGTTTGCCGCGTTGCACAAATGCTGACAAAGTCAGAAATGTCATAAAATGGAAGCCCCCGAAGCATCACGCCTGTCATGCTTGTCCGGTCCTTCAGCGTAAATCCTGGTAGCATGCCCCACACTTGGCAAGTCATCCTCGTATTCGTTTGTTCACCATGCCTGTTCGCTGGGTCTGAACGTCTGAAGCTTGCCTAGACATGTTGATCAGTGATTAGCAACAAGCCTGTGTGGGCCCTTTGAACATCCAACTGTTTAGCAGGTCCATTAATGGGTCTCAGGGGGTCAGCATCTCCGGTGCGACGAGTGGGTTTACAGGCATGTCGCAGAATCCCTGAATAGTGTGATTGTGGAATTAAGCTACCATGTGCCAAGTGTTTCATGATTGCACATTGAACCTGCAGAAAGTTGTATGTCATGCGCGTTTGTCTTTGAGTATATCGATTGCATGGGTTTAAGAGGTCAGAGGTCCTGTCCAATTTCATGGCCTTGTTTTGCCCAGTGCAATGACCACATTGAAGCCAAGCATAGTATGTAGGTTGATTTAGCCGAAATGATCAGTGCAAACTTGCAACCAAACTGCAACTCACAAATGCGCGCACTTTGGAACCTCGCAAGAGCCTACTGACAACACTATCTTACGGACTCAACAGTTCGTGTCAGCGTTTTCAGCCGCGGAGCAAAGGAGTGTCGTTGACATGGTTTGCTTCAGGACACGCTGAACAATCTCATGGACGAGCTCTATGAGTTGGCTGGCGCATCGGTGGTGAATCAGCCCTCATTGACACCCGATAGCTGCTTGGAAGGCAGTTAGTCGGGTAGGTTGTGGAGGGCAGCACAGTGTCGTGCAAAAAGTCTCGCGTTTCCTGGTTCTTAACCATTCATACTGACTAAGTGGTCACCACCTTTCATTGATACATCCATAGGCGAGGTAGAGTACGTATCGCAATGTGTAATTTTGTGGATATAGCTGTAGACATCGGTTTAGGCTCATAGGCTAGCACACAAGTCACATTATATCCATAGCATTTAGAACAAACAACAAAACCAGGTAGTTGGAAGGAGGCAATCAGCTTTGACCCTGGATCATGTAACAGTTGCAGGTTGAATTTTTCGCACGACACAACCAAACAAATGCGCGGACCTTGAGTTTGATAAACTGCTGGTAAGGATTGGGGTGGGTCTACCTCCCCCCTACTTGTCTAGACTGTGCGAATCACTTATCCCCGTGCTCAAGTATGGACTTTGTTGCATTCAATGTTCGGCAATAGATCCGTCTTGCAAGCACAACCTATGCTGACATCAAGCATGTCCTGGTGAGAGATACTTTCACGTGTTGTTTTTGTCAGCTGCAGCTTGCAACATTGAATTGTGACCGGGGCACCACTGAACAAGTCTTGTTCACACCACGTTCATCAGCACACTAGCAGCAACATATTCTGTCTTGCACTCCACACCCCGCAGCACCCGCCTTTTCCAAGATAGGTTTGCCAGCAGTCATGAGACAAGGACAACCTCGATAGGGCGCACAAGTTTAGTGAAGATCAGTAGTATCGCTTGCGAGCCCTCGATGCTTGAATGACGCCATATGTTCTTTACCAGTTTTTTTGAGTTCCTTCAGTAGAGTTCTACCAAAACGTGCGTATGTATGTCAATGTAGGCATACGTATAGATAGACATTGTAGATATTCCTTCACTGTACAGGCACAGTTATTAACGTGTGTGTTTGTGTATTTGCGCACGTGTGCACGGCATTTACAGCATGTGTGTGCGAAGCAAGCGGTGCGCAATGGAGCTGCTTTTTTGTGGCACAGACCGACAGCTGGATTCGGCGCTCACCCAAGCGAGAATCTTGCTCGGGACCCATCCTAGAACCTTCAGGCCAGCTTGAATGGCGAAAACAGTGCGGCTGGTTTGTGGTTGCGCAACTGACCAGAGTCAACAAAGAGTCCGAATGTTGAGGGGTGCCCAAATGTTTTGCGTAGAGGCATGATGACCCCAGCTCGCTTGCCGAGGTGTTTGTGCCAAGAACTCGCTTGAGGACCCCGCCAGCGCCTCCCTTACCCCGTCCGAGCTTACATGAGGGCTGCTCTATTGTGGCAAGTTGGCTCCCTTCCAGATGAGGTACAAGCCGAACAGGCGGCTAAAGGGACAACAGCAAGCCAAACAATTCATATTTCACTTGCACCGGCTGATGTAATTTGTGTAATTTAACCATAGTTGACCTCCGCTTATGTTTCTAAATGAATTGATGAATGACGTCATGTTATCAGAATGCCCACGCAAATCCACGCAAGTTGTTGCGGCCTTTTTTCAAGTTGCAGATAATGGATCTACCGCACCAAAAGTTAGAGAAATCGCGATTCGTCGGACAATCCATTTCTTTTTTTGTGTGTGTGTTGTTAGTTTCCCAGCCTGGAGCAAGCTGGCCAACCCCCTACGTCCTTCTACTTCCTTTCCAGGTCAGCTCGCAGCACAACCCGAAGAAGTCAAGACATGCACGTTAAACTTTCTTTTACCTTCCTACGGCAATGGGCCAATGGGACCAGCCACAGACGAGGGGGAAGACACGAGTTACATATTCTCATAGAATATGCATAGACAGGGGGCCTTTGCAAAGTTCTCTCATGGACGGGAGTTGCCCATACAGCCATAGCCAACGAAGGTTGCTTGCACAAGGAGGGCTGCTTCCTGAACCAGTTTTGGTTCGAGACGGCACACGCATGTTTATTGCCATTTTTTGCTGACGCGTTGGGCCACCAAAATTAGCCTAGTAGGACTCAAGAAACAGCCTGAAGAGTCTCACCGGGCAAGCTGGCAAAACGTGCCGGCATGTGGCGCAGTGGCAGAACACCAGAAAAAGCGGACGAGGCGGGAGGCACCGAAACACGGATGGGTGTCAGGAACAAAATTGAGGTTCAACCCCTTTTCAGAAGCGTCGTTCTTCCCTCCACTCGCCACAGAACAGCCCCTTGCTGTTTGCGTTGGAGCAAATTGAGTGACAGACTTGCAGAGAATTGGTGACTGCTTGCCTTGTAGGTATTGCCAATTGCCAGCTGGGGCTGCACGACCTCTCCAGAAGATTCTGATGCAAGTCCTTCGTAAGAAACCCGGCCCCAGAGACTTGCACCATTACCAGGTCCACCTTTGAAATACTCAAAGAAGGCATGGTTGTCGTGATTTGTTTGTGGTGATTGTTTTGTTTTGGGTCACCTTTTTCAATCGCCGCGCCGTTCACAGCAGTGGTGCTTTTACTGCTACATGAAGCTGAGATATCCAGCCTGGACAGAAGCATCAGGTCCAGGTGATACACTAAACCACTCTGCTTGCAAGTCTATCGCAAGGTACCGCTTGCGTTACTTTGAAACCTTTCAACCCCTTTCAACCAATGCACAATGATGTCTTGATGTACCCTGATTGCAGTTCGCTCAAAAGAGAAGGTGCTGTGGTCCGGCTTGTAAGCACGAGATCTTTGTAGCCAAGGAGCAGTGCCAACACTCAGATGAATCAGTCCAAATGGACTGGGAAGCATTCTGCCCACTAGTCCACCACATTCGCACAAGCTTCTCGGACCCCGCATATACTGTCCGATGTGCACAACCTGCCTGAATCCCATGGGCAGTGATCATGAGGACAGCGTTGCTGGTGAATGCCTTGCGAATCAGGCGCGCCTAAATGTCTTGTGCCACCTCCAGCTAAATAGCGTTGCGTTTCGTTAGTGTCCGTTTGTATTAGTGGCGCCAGCTGAATTTGAAATCGTTCCAATTGGTGCCTACGCTACACGGCTCAATTGTGAAGCAAACCTGTCACAGGTGATGCGAGGCTTGAAAAACAGTTGTCCCATTCACGACCAAGGTCTAAGACTAGAGAGGGTTAAAGTTAGAAGCAGGTTTTCCTGTATGATTTGCAATGTTCCGTCCAGTGCAGCCTCTTTGAGTTTTTGACGCATAGGGCACGCCACGGCCCATGCCGCTGCCTGACTCAGGTGCAGGCATAGGCATTGGCTAAGACCATATCATTTGCTCTCAGTGCCGTTGGGCGGACACAGATTTCCTCAGCTGCTGTATTTGCATGTATCAATCTGGCTTTGTTGGATGTAGCATATGACATGGTTCCCTTTCCAAGACCACTTCTTGTATTCAGACACTGTCAATTCATAGCCGTCACAGTAATTTCAAAGCGCCATTGTGAAGTTCATTCTTTACGTCGCCTGATTTACTTTTGTCTGCGGAATGCGCAACGTTCTTGTGGCCCAGCTGCGGGCCCAGGAGGCCGTCACCGTGGCCATCGAAGCGCCTGCACTCGAAGTTTTCAGGATTGAGGTGAGGCACCGCGCGGTGCGGCGAAGCGAGCACACGGACGGTTGATGTGGTTGCAGGGTGTAGATATTCAAAATCCGGGAACCCCAACCAGGATCCAGCATGAGTTTTGTTGGGTTTGGTTTTCCTGCCAATAACCAATCCAAGGCTCCCATTCTTGGAGACAAAGTCCTCTTCTGATCGGCTGTTCAGATGACGCATTGAGGGGAAAGGCAGCGGAAATCGAGGAAGAGCACTGCCCATGAAACTCCACGGAATCCGATGCAGAAGCTCCTTTTTGTGCCCACTTGCAACAACGCTTGGCTAGGTGACGGTTTCTGACGGGTACGTTGATTGCATGTGTTTCCTTGGTGACCGTTTGGCTTCATGTCTTCATTCAATAGACATGCACCTGCGAATCTGGAAAGGTGACCATGCTTGCCTCTTAAGTGGCAACGTTGGCAACGCAGGAGCCGAAAAAAGATGAGGAGGAGGAGGACGACGAGGATAGCGAGGACGACTTCGACAAGAGCTCAGAGGCAGGGCAATGCTGGCTGGACATCGCTTAGTACCGGCTTGCACCCTATATCCTGCTTATTTGCAGCTTTGAACGGTAAAGAACAAGCTTCCACTGTGACTTCCCGGGAGGCCTGGAATGGCTTGAGTTTGTCTCCGAACTTGCCCAATGAGGGAAGTGCCAGGTTCCCATATGGTGTGCTTGGATTGCAAGTGAGCTTTGCTGTATTCGATGTCGGTCCCCCAAATGTCTTCTGTCTGGTGTCGCTCTTTAGAGGAAGTTCTCTCGACGCGTTACTGTATGGCACCTGCAGAGTCATCGCGAAACCTTCAGAATGTTTAGCCAGCCGAAGCTTGATATGCACTGTAATGGCACGAAGCTCACTGGGGCTCCTGTATGTTGGACCCTTTTAATGTTCCCCCCTCCCCTTGACCTTTCAATGTGACCCCCTCCTTTGAACAGTGCCAACAGTCATTTGGGGCCTCGTTAGTGTGACGGGGGGGTTGGGTTAGACTTCGACCTGCCTATACTAACTTAATTTAGTATTGCCAAGACTTACTCTTAGATTCCCAGTACCAGATTTAGTGCTGCCAATTCTGAGTGTAGTATTGCCAAGACGTACTCTCAGACTCCTAGTACTTAATTTAGTATTGCCAACACTGTTCCTATGACTTATTCTTAAATTATCAGCATTGAATTTAGTATTGCCAGTTCTAAATTAGTATTGCTAAGACTTACTCTCGGGTTCCCAGTGCTTAAGTTAGATTGCCGAGATGAGCCACCCTTTAAAAGTAAAAGGCTAAGCTTTGATCTGGGAACTTCCTGCCCAAGAAAGCTTGACATTGAAGAAGACCCCAAAACAGTCAGATTACATAGGATCAGCAGCTTCCGTGGGAAACCCGTTTTGTGTGGCTGTTTGGGCTTACTTTAAATAAAGACATGTTCTCAAGCTTGATGGTTTGGAGCTCCTAGATCTAAGGCCTTTGGCCTTTGATCTGGCATTTGTTTTTTCAGTTCGCCCGAATTTTCTCGTGAAGCTGTCTATTCTTCAGGACCCAAGCAAAAGAACTTTCCACAGACGCCCCATTTACAAAAAGCAGGTGGTCCCAGACGAGCCTGGGAGAGGGGCAGACGTTTCAACATAAGGAACATCTACACTTCAAGACATTCTTCCCGACGAACAAGGCCAAAAATGCTGCGCTTTTGCCCCCTACACCATCAGTTAGCTAGTTGGCCACTTCAATGGTTACTGAATCTGTCAATCATTTATTTAGCTGTGCAGACTCCTGTGTCATGTAGCAAGAGGATTGAACAGTTCACGCTAGATTGAACACGAAGGCCGATCCCAGATAGTCGGAAGACTCAAGCAATCGCGCAAGCAAACTGGAACACGCACACAAGAGCCACTTCTTGGAGATTGACCCGCAGAAAGTGGGAAGGGCGTTGGATCTATGAGCCTTTGAAGCTCGACCCCCGTAAGCTTGCATGTATGATCGGTCAAATGCTGTTTCATTACTTGTAATTGTAGGTGCTGTGCAGTACCCGACTCCCCCTGGCATGACCCCTTGATGCATGCATAGAATGCACTGTCCAGGGTAGGGAAATTGTCGGATCACATGTGCTTTGGTTTTTGCAGCTGCTTTTTATTCCAGTAGTGCCTGGGGCATCATACCTGGAGTTTTGTTTGCTCCCTGTTAGAATGCCTCAATGCCTTCGTCCCAGTCTTCCTTGTAGGCAGGGGCAGTCCTTCAAGCGAGCTTCAAGCGAGCTTCCCTAGGGCCACCTACCAACCTAGCACAGCAAGTCCGCGATTGATTCCTATTTGCGACATTGTGTGGCCAGCTTGGTTGTTTTGATTGATACCTTCCCAGTAAACGTGTCTTCCCGCTTCTATTCATCCTGATGTTTGACCACGTTGAGCCTTGTTCAAGCAGGCTTCGTTACACTTTCCCGCTCTAAAAACATCAACATCGCAAGTAGCTGACTGAATCTCAAGATGAACCCGCAATTTACGACTTGCAAGTGCACTTAAATTTGTATGTTGAGATCAAGAAGCGCAACGTAAAGGAGAACCACCGAAGGGGCTGGGGAAGAAACTATTGATTGAGCTGTTTCATCCATCAACACGCCTTGAAGTGTTGCATACCTTCAGTCCTTCGATGCCAGGCTCTTTGGCCGCTGGCAAAGCTTCAGGCTCAGCTGGAGGCTGTGCTCAGTGATTCCACTGTCAGAAAGACTGAAGCATCGCACAATCCGAGACGATCAAGCAACGCGCCATGCATGTTTGTTGAAGGTGTTGCCTTTTACAAAGCATTCGATTCCCCTGGTACACACACCCCAAAGAACAGTAGATGTACTAGACGGTTGGCGTATGAATTGAGAACCTGATCAGACCATCGGTACAATCGTTGGAGTCCACTTGGACAGCAAAGCCCCTTACGAGGGAAACACACATTGTGTTTCTTATGCCAATCTAACTATTTTAACACCACAATCCTGATGTAGATGTTGCACAAAGAACCGAAGTCGCAAGGACAGTGGTTTTAGAGCATAACATGCAGACACACGTGCAGAGGTGTTGCAATACATCCCACGCAAAAGGGCGCGTGAGCACCTTTGCGATGTGTGGAAATACACCAGTTGAGCGTGTGTCATGAAGATAACTAAGCAAACAATCCACCAATCAATCAATCAATCAATCAACAAAGCAATCAGGAAAGCAAGCAAACAAGCAAACAATCAGTCAGCCAAGCAGCCAATCAACCAACCCACCAACCAATCAAGCAACGAACCAACCAGCCAGCCAGCCAGCCAGCCAGCCAGCCAGCCAGCCAGCCAGCCAGCCAGCCAGCCAGCCAGCCAGCCAGCCAGCCAGCTCATCAATCAATGAGTCAGTCAACCAAGCAACCAACCAACCAAATCCAATCCAATCCAATCCAATCCAATCCAATCCAATCCAATCCAATCCAATCCGATCGATCACTCACTCACTCACTCACTTACTCACTTACTCGATCAATCAATCCTTCAGTCAATCAGTCAGCCAATCAATGAATGAATGAATGAATGAATGAATGAATGAATGAATGAATGAATCAATCAATCAATCAATCAATCAGTCACTCAATCACTGACTTAATCACTCAATGGATGGATGGATGGATGGATGGATGGATGGATGGATGGATGGATGGATGGATGGATGGATGGATGGATGGATGAATGAATCAATGAATCCGTCAATCAATCAATCAATCAATCAATCAATCAATCAATCAATCAATCAATCAAGCAAGCAAGCAAGCAAGCAAGCAAGCAAGCAACCAACCAACCAACCAACCAACCAATCAATCAGTGTGGCCCTCTTCACCTGCGGCCTTTGACAGGCCTTGTCTTTGGAGAGGCCAAGATTGCAAGACAGCCGCTGGGCCGGACTTGGTGATTGATAACCTGTGGCCTTCTGTGCGAGTTTGGTCGGTCCAATTTGCATGTCAATGGTTTTACGTTGCAGCTTGGCATGTCTTGAGATGCTTTGGGAGATAAATGCCCACCCCAACTGTTAGCAATTATAAGGGAGAAAGGGGTTTGGTGATGAGATAAAGAGAGTCCCTTCATTCATCGTTATAAGATAGGCAAAGAGGGTGAACGAAGCCATCTCTTACCATCTCCTTCTCATCCTCTTTTTTTGTTTGGGAAGGAGACGGCCATCTCTTTCACCTTTCCTTTTACCCAGCCACATCTATCTTCTCGGCTGGGATTGTGAAACGAAAGGCCATTCCTTCTTGATAAGTCTCGCCTGGGAAAAGAGAAGCGAGACGAAGGAATGGGATAATGATGGAAGGGTGGATCATGCCCGGCGAGAGATAGGAAGGACATTATTTACCCGGCCCCACAACCTTCTCCCAGCCAAGCCTCTGTTCTTTAGCAATCATTTGGATGAGGCTTTGCGGGTCGTTTGAGGAGGACACCAACATGACACCAATCACCCGAGAGGGGTACGGTGCGGATTTTGACACACTCCCAGACGGGCTGAACGGAAGCAAATGCTAGCTCTCAGCCAAGGGAAGCTGGCGGTGCTGCTGTGCATGCCTCAGACTGGGTATTGGCTTGTC